GTTTCCGTTTTACGATGTTGAGTCCACTCAGGCCTGAGCCAGAGCAAACACAGCACCCAGATTCGAGGTGCATATGGATTCTGCAGCCAGCAGTGGGGGAAGAAGACATGCTGAGGGGGCACAAAGATGCCTGTGGAACAGATGTGTGGACTCTCCCTGGAGTCTGACTGATTGGGGTTAAAACTAAACTTGTGAAAAAACACTATGTTAGATTTCACACAGATTTGTCTACTTCACCTGCGGCATCCATTATCTGTGATTTTTTTCACAGTATCTGGGAAGATGGTGGGATGGATTTGGGATAGAAGGAGATGCAGCTGTGTGGTGGAACTTTGGCACCTTCTGTTGTCTACAGGGTCTCTTCAGAGTTTAGCCAGCCTTTCAATTGCTAAAGAGCAATAGTTACAAAACAGAGCCCTGAGACTATCTTACAGCAAGGACAGCATCTTGTGGAGTTACTGCCTGCTGATTTCATCATCCTGCACTCTTTCCCCATGTTTACAGGATGTTAGATGAGACTGCCAGATGAGGCCTAGTGGTGAAAAAAATTCTTGCCTTAATAATAGCCAGAGTTCTAATTTTTAATGGTCAGTAGTATCATTACTTGCATCTAAATTAATACTTGGTTGACAGCTGTGGCAAGTCACAAGCATGTCTGGAGTACCCTTCTTGTAGATGTGGTCTGAAGTACATTAGTTAGCTTCTTGTTCTTTCTGTACTGTGTCTGATCTATTAATGAATTAGAAAATGTGTGATGTAAATGAAGCTTCGTGAATTGTGGAAAACTGCACCTTTAATCCATGTAAATTTCAAGTATAAGCATAGCAAGTCATTGTGAAGGACAGCAAATGAGATGGTGTTTCACATATAGCAGCTGGTACTCAAAGTTCACAGGACTGTTGGGGTTGGAAGGAACTTGTGGAGATCATCTAATCCAACGCCCTTTCCAAGGCAGGTGCACCTCAAACAGGTGACACAGGAACAAATCCAGGTGGGTTTTTCAGAGAGGGAGACTCCAGAACCACCCTGGGCAGCCTGTTCCACTGCTCTGCCACCCTCAAAGTAAAGAAGTTCTTTCTCAAGTTGAGGTGGAACTTCTTGTATTTTAGTTTATGGTTATTCAGCCTGGAGGGGGATCAGGGGATACCTTATCACTCTCTACAGCTGCCTGAAAGGAGGTTGTAACCAGGTGGGAGTCAGCCTCTTCTCCCAGACAACCAGTGACAGTATGGGAGGAAATGGCCTCAAGCTGTGCCAGAGAAGATTTAGGCTGGACATCAGGAAGAATTTCTTCATGAAAGGGCTCATCAAGCACTGGGCCAGGGAAGCGGTGGAGTCAGCGTTCCTGAGGGTGTTTAATTCTGGATGTGGCACTCAGTGCCATGGTCCATTTGACACATGGTGGTGTTCAGTCAGAGGCTGGACTCGATGATCTCAGAGGTGTTTTCCAGCCCCATTGATTCTGTGATTCTTTGGCTCCCTAACTCTATCCATTCTCTTTCCCATAGAAATGTCACATGATCAGACCCTTATCTTCAAGTGTCAAAGTGTTATTTCATGTGCTGCATTTAGATAACTTTATCCATATTCAAACTTTTTATACCATGACATACATCTTTCATTCTTTGCTCCTTTAGTGGTTGTTCTTTGGAATTCTCTGACATTTTATTAAGAATAAAGTGCACCAAAGAAATCTTACATGAGTTACATAAGTGTTGAAATGGCTTCACAACATGGTGTTTGTCAGAACAGGTATTTTGGAGCAGCCATAAAGAACAAGGCATTTAAAAATGTGTGTAAAATCATTTCCTGAAACAGACTAAGTGAAAGGAGTGAAAGGAGATTTCAGTAACAGCACTTTAATTTAGTTTTATATTTGGTCAGCACAATTAAGCTGGTTAGTGGTGTGACTACTGTACCATGTCTCCGTCAGTAAAACTGAATTCTTACTTCAGAAATTCGAGGCCCACATGGAAAGGAGAAGACATACAAAGAAAATCATGGAGGATCAAACTTAACTAGAAAGTCTTCCTTTATTACTGACAAAGGTGCTGTGTGTATAATTCAGAAGTAGACATGTAAAAATATGTCTCTTCAATAGGCTCTGCAGGATAAATTTTAATGGAGAGGATACAAGATTCTAGTTATGGATAAGTGTCATTAAATGATTTAATGCTGTTTTTTGCAAAGTTATTTCCAATTGGCCTTTTTCCAAATGCTGATCAATGGATGGAAATGTTCTAGGAAATGTAATGATTTATATCATTATATTAATATTTATGGCAGGAATATATAGTATACATAGTAGATATATATAGTGCATCACAAAGAAAAGATGAGCCTTTTTTTTATAGGATAAGCATAAGAATAGTGCTGAGCAGCTGATACTCAAAACTATGGGTTTGACTGGTGACCAGTGAAAACTAACTCCTTATCCCCCTTGTTATATTCATCTCAGTGCTAAAATAGGGTGTCACTCCCTCTGGCTGGAAGTCCATGCAAGTGCCTGTGCCTGAGGATACCAGGTCCATTGCTGAAGGTATGCAACCATGGCTCAGAATTCTGAGGAGAATGCTAGGTTGCAGGGGAGGAAAAAAATAGCTGTCAGAAAGTCTGAAGAAGAGATTCATCTGAGACGAGAAAGCTGAAGCTGCTGACAAGGGTAAGACAAGGGAAAGCACTCACATAGGCAAGCATAAAATCATAAAGAAAAAACAGATCGTTGGAGGGAGGCATGACTGTGGCTGTGCTCCAGGGAGCTGTAGGAGCTGCCCTTTTTCCTTCCTGACTTTTGCCAGCCTGGCTAGCAGAGACTCTGCTTATGTCTTATAAAAGGTGGTGAGCACATTAATGCCTAACCTAGTAGGGATCATTTGGGTGTGATAACCAATAAATAATTTTTATACTTCTGAGTATGTCCTGCTCACAGAATCACTTTGTTCTTGGCTAAGATGTCTGAACAGGGACACAAAAAGGAATGACTACAGGACCCAAAAGCTGACAAATAAAGCATATGTGGGAATTATATCCCCAAAAAGCCAGTTCAAAAGAAAATATGTGCTCCCAGATTAAAAAAAAAATGGTTTTGGAGGGAGACTGGTGACCCTTGATCCGGCCAAGGAGTCAAGCAGAAATTCAAAATGAAAATATTTTCTAAAAAACAAATAAACAAACAAAACCACAAAAGAAAAATATTAGATATTGCCAAGGCATTCATTTGGGAAAAATAATCAAGGAAAAAACTCCAAGTAATCATTATAAATCTGCAAATATAAGATAGATTTTTGTCATAGGTTGAAAATTGTCTTTAGGAATTTCCTAGTATGACCCTATGGCCTATTGAACATAACATGGATATATTTAATTAAATTGGGAACAATCACAGCAGGGGTAGTGGGTCTGTACTTTTTTCCCTTTTTCTTCCCTCTCCTCTGATTTTGTTTGATTTTATTGTAGCTGAAGCCACATATCTAATTGACAATGAATATTTTTTCAGACAGTCTAGAATTGCACTTCGTTCCTTAATAGCCTCCAAATAAAGGGTTTTTTTGCATCCCAAAGGAATGCTAGGTATGTTATTTGATATTATTTTTCATAAAAGTTCATATAGTTCATTAAAGGGCCCAGCAATTTTTTTTTCCTTTTTTCTTCTTGCATAACCAGACAGTTTGATATTTTCCCTCTCACTTTTTGACATCTTGGGTGGGATTTGTCAAAGGAATGCAGGCGTGGGATACAGTCTAGACATGGGTATTTGAGCTAGTCATTCTAAGCTGCTTCACTGGTCATCAAAGAGAAAAAAGACACTTTTGGAACTGATTTCAGCATTCAGAGTACACTTTTGAAATATGTTAGATGCATCATTCTCTAAAACTGCTTATTTTTCTTTATTGACATTGAGGAAGGTCTGAGAAGACCACCTCAGAGGTGAATGAATAAAGTTTTGCAAAAGGAGCCTCTGTCCTGGCAACAGTGTAGACTCTCTTGGCTGCCAAATGCTGAGTCTGCCATCACTTGAAGTTCTGAGGTGAGATGAATTACTGTCTGGAAGCCAGAAAGCAAAACCTGAAACCATCCATTAAATAGAAAACTCAGTCAGAGAATGGACACTATAGAAGGGGAATGGCTCAGTGCTTTTAAATCACTCCATCTGCTCACAGTTTGTCTCATTTCATTTCCTAACACTTCATTTAAAGTGTCTACTTTTGCATTTCATCTTTTTCCTCTCACAGCCTTTGGGGATTGCCATGCCCATGAAGAGGTTGCCCAAAATATGTGGATGCGCCACCCTGGAAGTTCAGGGCCAGTTTGGATGGGGCCCTAAGCAACCCAGTCTAGTGGAAGCTGTTCCTTCCTAGGGCAGGGGGGCTGGAACTAGATGGTCTTTAAGACCTTTT